AAAGGCACTGAGAAGTCCTGCAGGAGGCAAACCTGATGGCTTCGCTGGCATATTCCAAACACATCTGACTTTAGAGATTTCTCATCTGTGGACTCTAGCTGGGGGCTAGCTGGCATGTTTCTGGGTGGCATCTGTTGTAATGGTTTATCCCTGAGCTGTACTGGCTGTCTATTAAATAATCTTCTTTTTGTGCATGTGTGTATACTGGGAATTGGTCTGAGGTCCTGTGCTTGCTGGGTGTTTGCCTCACCACTGAACTCCATCCTTAGCCCTGACTAACCTGAGTGTCACCTTTTGGAAAACACTTTATTAAAGACTATCTTCTGTGCAGTGGGAAAGCATGTGTTTAACCCATGTAAGCCCACTGGCCCCCAGGTTCACTCACTGCCTTCAGATGCTTTAGGACACATGGAATATAAGTGGTACATGCTCGGTGGAGGGGAGGGGGCAGGAATAACAGGTACAGGGTGAGTGAGCGCTGCAGGAGGTGAAAGACAAAGGCTCTCCTGAGCTATGGTTAGTGTGGGACTCCCATGGAAGGAAGTGCCAGGAACTGTCTGGCTTAAGCTCCTGCAAGAACATGGTGATGAAGATCAACTTGCTGAATTGACTTGGCCCTTGTTCTTACGTCTTCTGTCTCAAGTGAAGTTATAAATGTCTGAGATAATGGGTTGTGTACTCTTGCCATTTTTATGCCTGGTAATATTTGGATGTCAGACATGAATGTGTTCTTATAAATAATAATGAGATCTGCCCCAGGATATTTTCTATGCAGCAGGTGGGCTTAGCTTTGAAGATTTACTGGATAGTATCTGTTACAGAAGCACTTTAGTTCCTAGGGCAAATTATTACTTCTCTTCCCGAGGCAAGATCTCCCTGAGTTGACACAAATGCCTATGAATGTGGGGGTTCCCAGTCTGCCTTGATAGGACCTTGTTGCTCCCGTCACTCTCCTGGGAGCCACTCCCAAGCTGTGAGGTTTCCTTCATCGAGTACTTTACTTATCAGCACCTTGGGAGTGCTAAGGGGGTCTTATGAGATCTCTAGGGTCTCTGTATGCATCTTCTCGGCACTTTCATCTTCAGACTTGCTGGCCTAGTCTCCCCAGGCTACACATAGCCCCAGGGAGAATACTGTGTTCTACCTGGGTCCCCTGTGTGCACCATGGCCTGGTGGCTCTGCCCAAGAATCACCTCATTTTCACCTATCAGCAAGCACTACCTGCTTTTGCCTAATGTCCTAGGTCTCAAAAACATTTTTTTTCATGTATTGTTACTTCTGTTGTTGTTTAAGTGAGGGGTGTAGAGCTCTAGTCCCTGTCACTCCACCTTGGCTCTCTCTTTCTTTTTTATTGTTTCTTTTTTTTTCCCCCCTTGAGATAGGGTCTTTGTGTAGCTCTGGCTGGTCAGGAACTCACCAGGTTCAGTAGGCTGGCCTTGAACTCATAGAAGTCTGAGTGCCTCTGCCTCCTGGGTGCTGGGATTAAAGGTGTGTGACACTATGTCTGCTCTCTCAAACTCTTTTTTTTTTTTTTTTTTTTTTGGTTTTTCAAGACAGGGTTTCTCTGTGTAGCCCTGGCTGTCCTGGAACTCACTCTGTAGACCAGGCTGGCCTTGAACTCAGAAATCCACCTGCCTCTGCCTCCCAAGTGCTGGGATTAAAGGCATGCGCCACCACTGCCCGGCTCTCTGAAACTCTTGATCCTCCGCATGTTGTGAGTGCTAAGATGACAGAAATGTGCCACCATATCCAGCCTTTCCTGCTTCTTACATACATATAAAGCTTTTTCCTGCATTTCTCCCTTTCTCTATCTGCCTTTGCTAATTTTCTCTTGCTGATTCCTAGCTATTACTAAAGCTAGCCCTTGGGGAAAGGGGTTACCCAGCTAAATTGTGCTGTGGTTTCAATTTGGGTTAGGGCCTCTCTCCAGCCTTTGCCAAGTCTTCTGCACAGGCCACCCTTCCCTCAGCTTGTATGTGTTCTTTGTTACTGGGGTCAATATGACTTGTAGGCTACAGGCCTGCTGAGTGGAGGCCCTGTGACCACTTCTGTTCATCTCTGATCTAAAGCTAAGTCTGCTCTCTGTTACTTCCCGTTGCCCACTCCTGTGCTCACTCATTTGGGTATTACCCATTAGTAGGAAGCACTGCCTTTTATGAAACAGTAGTTTTGTCTTCTGTTGGAAGTACTTTTCTCGTCTGCAGAAGTCTTCTCTCCTTCAATCTGGTGTGTGCACAGGTAGATCTGATCTTTCAAACGGACTTGCCTCCTTTTATTCTAAGGATACACACAGCCTTGCTGGTCTACGGGCTGACGTGCTGTGGAGCTCTCAACCGTGTTCCCTCTGACTTCTGACTTTAAAACTTCTCAGAATGTGCTTAGGGAAAATCTAGAAACTAAAGAGTTGTAAAGAACCCAACCCCTCTCCCCTGTGAATTTTCATCATTAACGCAGGGCAAACATGTAACATCACTGTGCTCACAAAAGCACATGTGAACTGTGACGGTCTCGCCAGTGATAGACAAAGGACGATGGCCAGAAGAATAAAATAAAATTAATTTTCCTCATCAAATAAGTAGCAGGTTGATGATTATAACTCTAAGCTGAAATGTCCAGCCTGACTCTCCTGGTTTTAGGAAAGGGAGATCAATACCTTCAAGTTCATAAGATAGAAGCACAGTGAATAAACTGGGGAAACGCACTATCATCTCATTAACTTTCTTTTCTTACATCTAGAAACTTGGAAGAAATGACAAATTCTCTCTTATGTTAGAAGTAGGAGGTCCACACCCAGGAACAATCTGCATACTACAAGAGAGCCACAGATGGGTTCCAATTCCATCATGGGGTGAAGACCTTTAATGCAGCTGGGATTTACTAAACAAGAACTCAGACTGAGACAGAAACACTTCAATTCCTGGGGCAAGACAACTATACTAATTAGCACAAGTCTTCAGGTCAAAGACAACAAGCTATGGTTCCTTCTACTGCCTATCCTTTGCCATGACTAAATATTTACAGGAAGACATGCTTGCTCATGTGAGCTAGGAACATTTACTGCTGATGCTTCCATCATAACCTTTCATTCTGAAGTCTTTTGTATGCTTAGCTTCACAGCTGTTGTGCAGGGAAGCCATTTGGGCCTCCAGCCTTCTGGATGGTGCTACTCATACAAAGTCTCGGTCCCTTCCTTCTCAGCTACTGCCACACATGTCAACTGTCTCTGTGAACGCTCTCACAGACACCCAGCAGTGGGCTTTACTGAGGTCCTGGGCATCCTTCAGTCCTGTCAAGCTGACAATAAGGATGGACTATTGTAAAGCCTATATGTGCATCTCTCTCTCTCTCTCTCTCTCTCTCTCTCTCTCTCTCTCTCTC